CCCGTCCCCGTCCCCGCCCCTCGCCGCCTTGCCGCCGGAGAACGCTCCGACAGCGACGAGCCCTCCGACGACACCGCAGACTCTGATGACACTGCAACATATTCACAATACGGTTTCAAAATAAAGTAATGTTTACAACCATATCATCAGCAACAAAATAAAACTAACCAATTCTTAATTTACAGTCATCTCTAAATTCTTTGTTGAACTTCTCGAAATCATCCTCTTCGCGGTAGCTGAGCAGCTTCTGTTCTATGAGGTGGAAGTTGTCGAACTCCTCGATGATGGGACAACCCAGACCCGGGAAGTCTTTCGTGTGGTCCCGCGGCTTCGACTGCTCGCTCTCGATCATGCCAAAGTAGAATTGTTTCGATGGTGCTGACTTTTGCCTGAAATATTTTCAAACTTTCAATCATAGACTAAGTGAAAGGTAGTACAAATAAATGGCATATTTGGCTAATTAAAAGGTTTTTTGTTATCCTTATAATGTATTTCACATCTGCTTACTTTTGCTGTGAATTATTGGTCGCTGTGTCACGTTTCCTATTGGGTGAGTGTTCCGGCGTCGACTCTTTGCCGGAAGCTTGTCCTCTATCTGGCATAGGTTTATTATTTTCCTTTGCATTCATCTTAAATTTACTGATTTCATTATTTTTAGTAATATTGCTCTGTGGGATTGATTTCGAATTTACGTCCTGTGTCCTTGTTAAAGGCCTTCTGTTGTTCGTGATTTGTGCATCCGGCTTTGTGCTGGCTACGCCTCTCTTAAGACTAGATTCTTTGACTTTAGCCTGAACTGCAGTTTTCGTTGGGTTCGATTTTTCTACATTGAATTTATTAAGCTGACTAGTTTTGCTTTCACTTAAATTAACTTTATTCCCTAATTCGTTTCTTATTCTATTTGTAGCCTTTTTGAGTTCTGTTTGAAATTCATCTTTTTCTTCATTTCTTGGTAATAATGAAGGAAGAGATTTTCTTAGTGGCTGGTTTCTGTCAGTCAGTGCACTTACTTTGCCGTTCTTTTGATCTCCCACAGTCTTTATACCTTTTTCGAATACCTTATTGGGTCCGTCGTTATCTCTGTCATGTTCGATTAATGAATTATCAAAAGTTTTCTCTCTTCTTAATGACGGATGATCGCTGTCATCTTTTTTAAATCTCTCAGAGTATCTGAAATTTCTGATTAGAAGCGGTGTCTTCCACGCCTCGCTCTGGTCGTTAGTTTTAGAAGTCTTGGCTCTGCAGCCGCTGACTACATCCGTCCTCACCCGCCTCGCCTCCTGTTTGTTCTGTAGCAACCGTTCTTCTCGTTTCAATGAGACAGAACTCTGCATCATATCCTTATTGTCAGGGTACTTCAGGTGCTGGTCCTTACTTTTGCACGGTGACTTGTATCTTCTCTCGAATGATTGATCGTTCAAGTCTAATGATTTAAAATCAGTATAAGTGTTTCTATATGTTGGGATTTTGGAGTCAGGGTGGCCGTTCGTCTTTTTGGTTTCATTTCTGGTTTTAAATAATCTGAGTTTTCTTTGGGGTTCCGGTCGCGCCTTTCCCAGACTGGAATCGGGAGATGAACCATCCCGACGCTGAAATAAGAGAGTTAGAGGTTACTATTAGTAATAGAATTTGTTCAATAATAATTTCATTTGTAATCACTTACGTTACTGGGCGGTGGGGGCGCTCGATATTTTTTCCTAAAATGTTTGTTATTGCTTTTCTGTTTTTGTTGCTCTTCTATCCTTAAGTCAGGTTCGGATCCGAACCGTTTATTCAAGCTGCCATCTGAAAATGATTTTTTAATAAAATTAAGAGTAAATAAAATTTCATAGGTAATAATTAAACATAGTAAAAAGTTCTTACTATCGTTGTTCCTATAGCCGAGGTTTGTATAAGAGCGGTGGAGGGGATCGCGCTCTCTTGACCGCGTCTCCTCAGCGCCCCCCACGCCGCCTCCCGACCGGGATCTATACGCATTCGGGTGCTAGAACAATAATTTAAAATCACGCGTAAGTTCCTACAGTTCTCAGTACCATAAATAATAGCAGAAGCATTTGAGAATACAGTCACCAGAATGAAAAAGATGTTTTCTTCTCGACACATATAACATAAGCAATTGCGAGTTAATTTTGAAGTCATGCGAGTTCTTACCCCGAACCTGTGCGAGCGCCAGCTCTCCTGCAGGCCGGAGGCAGGTCTGCGGCCGCTGATGGTGCCCCCTGAGTGCAGGATGGCGCCGTTGTCTGTGCTGCGCAAGCAGGGCGACTCCGGCAATGAGGGCAGCACCTGGAATTGCAGTGTCGCTTAAGAAAATACATTATATTGAGAGACACTATACATCAGCTCTTTGTTAATAGACATAGGTAAAACACCGTTCTTCCAATGACTATTTTTGATGTTAAATTCTAAATAAAGCAGGCTTTGTAGCAGGTACCTTGGGCGCTAGTCGCAGCGGCTCGTGCGGCAGTGGGTCCCCGCGGCGCGCTCGTTGCGGGCCCGCTGCGGCCGGCTGGCTGCCCGCCTGCCCCATGCCGCCGCCCTCACGCACGCCTCATCTGGTGACAAAGAAAACACGTGTAAATTATTTGAAACAAATACATCAAGTTTAAAACTATCCCGTGAAGGTTGGTTTTCCAACGTTAACGTTATTATTTGGAACAATTTTTTTTTATTCATAATGTTTACAAATAAAGGTAATGTGCAGATGCAAAGTGGCGTTGACCACGTGACCGCGAGGTCAAGGCCGGCGCGGCGTCGCTCATGCACACGCGCCGGCCGCGTAAACAGCTCGTAAAACCGTTGTGTTTATTTACATCTCACGCTACCCACGTTCCTACGCTCCTGCGCACTATATTAGTGAGGTTTCATGTGCAGATTCTTCTAAACAGACTTATGTACATAAAGCAGGGGAAACTATACTATCTAATTAATTTTATTTTCAAAAATATGATTTGCTATTCGATACCCGAGACAGCAATTTGTTTTATAAACCACGATTGTGGTGAACGAAACCAACCGTAAAGCAAACAAGTGGTAACAAAGTTCTTCGCAACAATTACAAAGTAACAATGCGTTTTCTTCGAAAGAATTCTTGCATTCGTATTCAGACTACAAACTATTCACAAACGTAATGTGAAGAATATAAACAATTATAGTTAAATGCTAAATACTTAATGATTTGCAAATTGTTTATCGATTTTAATTATTTTGCTTTCGAGTTTCATGCTATTTTGAAAAGCAACAGCATAATATGTCGGTTTTAGTATTTTGAATAAGCATATGGATAAATGTAAAAAAAACATCTTACTTTATATCTTCTTTATTCATACATAATTAATTAGAAGAGTAATTAATTACGTTGTTACTTGTGTATCACATCTTGCATTCTTTTGTTTTATTTCGCCCCTAAAATCTTTGTTTTTTTTTTTATTATGTTTTTAATTTGGTGGATTGTCGATGGCCAGTTATTACAATAAAATTATAACTTAAACAAATTATAACCAATGCTACAAATGTATTTCATATAAACCGTATTTCAAATTAATGTCATTTGTTTTTTATATAATATAATTATTACATTAATGCCTATTTTATTAGCGCCATCTAGCGATCGATATTGACGACTATACGAACATTATACCTATGAAAAAGCCAAGATAAAAACATGTAAACTTCCAACAAAATGTTTTATTTTAAAAATCAACAAAAGAAGTTAAATTAATGTTAAACGTGTCGCAAACATTTATTATATGTTTACACGCAATCTTGTGGACGTTGTCGGAGGAGAACGCATCTGCAAACTAAATTAGCAGATGTGTGTTAAATGCAGTCATCATCGCTTCCTATGTTTCCGTTTTATCGCTTCTGGACAAAGATTCACAAGGTCTTACATTGTTTCCGTATTTTTTTGTGTTTTTGTTGATTTTAATGTTTCTTTGTTATAATTGAATTAATTAATGAAGTTAGCTACAAGTATTTATGTAATACCGAGTTCTAAAAGTTCAATGCTTTTTAACTTTTCAAGTCAAAAGATCATCTCATATATAAAGCGAACTCGTCCAGTCTACTTAAAATTTTTATTGTGCAAAAATAGTAAAAGTACAAATTGGTAGACTGTCAGCATTTATGGAGATGCCAACGCCATACGGATCCACTTTCTTTATGATAATCGTGGACTTCGCGTCCGTGTGCAGTCGCGCGTGTGGAGAGCCGCTAACACATCGCCGCTGCTCCGCCGGATGTCTTGACCTCATAACTTCCCGCACATTGAATTGAGAATTATATATTCCCGAGGACAATAATTAAAATCTATTCAAGATCTAATAAAATATATTTTAGATTTGTCATACATTTTAATAAATAAAAACTGTCTGTGTATCTGTATTTAATTTATATCTGGTTATAAAGGTTTGTTAAACATTTGTTCTAATGGAACGTGCGATTTAAGTTACCTTTCCACTGAAATTACAACTTCCCTCTGGATCAGTTAACAATTTGCGACCGTTAATGTTACAACCAGAACCAGGATAAACAAGGAACACAAACACCGTTATTAATAAAGGTTAAAATGAAAGGTTGTAATGGAAAAACAAACGATTTATATTAAATATCGGAGCATCGCTTCCTTGTAGCAATTTAGTGCGACCGCCTGGTATTAGTTGGCGGCCACAAACGGCGAGCGGCCGTGGATAAGGGGCAAGCGATAAGCTAGTAGCGGCTTAACAATAAAGCTTGGATAAGCAACAAGGAGCGAACCTCAAGCGAAAACTAAGACAAGGTAAGGAACAAATGTTAGGTAAGGAACAAAACACAAGCGACAAGCCACAAGCGGCAAGCTGCTAGCAGCAAGTGTATTATCAGGCGAGCGTAGTACGAGTAATTGATAAAACCCGTTCCATTTGCCGCGGTGATGTACCGCTCCCGAGGGCGAGGAAAATTATTTTAAATCGGGTAATTGTAAGGAAGAGCGCATTGCTTATTACATTATTTAGTATTTTGTACCTATTTGTTATCAATACGGTGACCAGGTGTACCCTAGTTGAGGGATTTTATTATTGACCAACAAAAAGGCAATTAACTAGCAACTAGCAATTAACACAAAATAATAACATTGGTATTATTTTGTGTAGGAATAAAAAGTAAGTAACTGATTTCCTTCGAAAGGGTGCTAAATGACAAAACAGTACAAGAAAGCTTAGAAGTTATAACGTTTGTGCTTCCTTAGATTGCATCTATTTATATGTTTATCCATGTTAGGATTACAAAGTTGGGCGGCTACGAGAAGAGGCGCTGGTGAGAGACTAGTCTTGTTAGGTGGTGGGTTATAGTGTTGATACGAGGTGCATTGCTTTTTTACATATTTCACTTTGAAACTGCTACGGTAACGCATTAGAGAGATAGAGAGTCTATTTTCCATGTGGAAATTATAAAATCAAAGGAACTCAAACGCTGACCGCATTTGCCAGTTGTAACATTCTACCCACAAGATTCGATTGAGCTTAAAAGCTTAGATACAGATTATTAATGGATAAGCGATTACTTTAACGAACGTTAATCTCAGCAGAAGCGTTTAGAATCTGTGGCAGCGATGCTCCCGTCACCGCATCCCCATTAAAACATTAACGGTTACCCGGCGTCTCGGTTGCTCACGGCGCGCGGCCACGGACGCGGAAAATTATTCGCAGCAGCGACTCGCTTCCGCGACGCGCGCCATCTTGTGGCGTCTGCCAAGATGGCGGTCAGCAGACAGCGCAAGCTGCTCGTGTGAATCCGCTCTAATGATACTCTTTAACGACAAAGCTCTAAATTGTTTACCCTCATATATCTTAATGGCTTCATGATGACGTTAAAATTAAAAGTAGTCATTAACTGTTCTCTTGCATTACTTTTCGATACAGTCATATGCGATAAGCTTATTAACGTCAAAGTTCAAAGATGTAACGGTAACTCATATTTTCTCCGTCCATTTTGCTCGAATAAACATCATTTCCACGTAACTTAATCAGATCAATAAATGTCAACTAGATTTACAATTGACAAATGTCTACATTGTCTCTGAATGATCTATTAACTTGGGAGTTCATAAACCATCAACGTATTCCAATCGCTCCATCTAGCGGCCGACAATGTCATCAATTTACCTCATGAATGAGCCAGGAACTGCCGACGTACGGTGAATGAACATAGGGTAGACAAATAGTAGACAACACAAGACAAATTTAACTACATCGATAATCCCTATTTTAAAAACAGGAAATAGAGGAGGATTCAATTAGAAAAGAGAGGGAAATGCGCATGTGATTGTGTTCAAATATTTCATGCCATATCTTTGAACGTATTGGATCGGCGACAATTATTATTTACTAGAACTTTCTCTAGAAAATGTTTGCAACTCTCTGCATATGCATTGCTCTGTGCAGTCGTGCCGCGCGGTCGTCTGCAGGCCGCCACAAAGTCTACCGCCGATGTTGTGCACAGTACAGGATGTCTACGAAACTACAAGTTTTATTGAGAATATTTTTTCATTTGTGCTTTTGATTAATCTAAGGAGATATACGTTAGTTTTAGATATACTGTGTTTACTTTTTGGGATTATATCTTCACAGACAAATGAGCCAGGTGTCTACGCGGCCACGTTCCACCGATTAGCATACATATCTCATCATCTGGTCCCGTTCGCACCGCGCCAATCAGACCGTGCGCCGCTCTCAAATTTGGTATATAGGCACTGCAGACACACAAACCTACAAACTATGCTCATTTGTATAATGTTTGAGATAACTAGAAGAGCGAATTAAATGTTTTATTTGGCTACTTTTCTGTACATTTATACCTCGAAAACGAGAGTACCACTATTGTGCGATTGTCGATTGTTTCGCAGCCAAATCAACTGTTTAGTAGCACAACTAAAATCGAACAGTGTGCGCACCTACATATAATCTCATAGGAATCAAAGCGAGACTAAACAGTTGTGCGACAGTTCAGTTTCAGGTGTGCACGCGTTTTAAGTGTTTCTAAAATAAGTTCGCAAGTAAATGACAACCGTGTTTGTTTGTGTCGTGGTTGCGTGAAGTCGAAGGGCCACCGTTACCCTCTAACCAAATGCACACAAAATCTGTCGGTTTGTGTGTCACAGGGCCGCGCTAACTGAACCGGTCTGTCTACCCAAATGTTTAAACTACATCGCATAAGGTCATACATAAATATTCATGAATATAATTTAGTTACTGTTATTATAAATTGTAAATATGATTTATAAACTGTAGCTGAAAATATTCAACTTTTTTAATATATATCATCAATATTACAAGATACTGTAACTTATCTCAGCCGATGATGTGGTAAAATCGGCTTCATTTAAAGTTTAGCCTCCACACGCACAGTTTTACTGTGAACAAATGAACAACCTGTCTAACTGTTCAATTAAAACTAGGAGTATCATAACTGAGCTATCTTTACCGACTTCTTACTTTAAGATAATTTGAGCATTTCATTATTGATTAACGATTTAAAACCAAAAAAACAACTGACAGCTAAATTATACTAACGTAATTCG